GGGCCCCAGGACGCTGTCGCTGTAGTTCCCCAGACACCAGGGTGCATGCAGGCATCCTACTTACTGGTGATCACCCGAGGTGATGACTTAACAAACAGTAACACACGTACATTCACATATTACCTGGCAGCCTGCCTGCCTACCTGCCTGTCTGCCTGTCAGCCTACCTACCTGCCTGTCAGCCTACCTGCCTGTCTGCCTGTCAGCCTGCCTGCCTGCCTGCCTACCTACCTGCCTGTAAGCCTACCTACCTGCCTACCTGCCTGCCTGCCTGCTTACCTGCCTGCCTACCTGCCTGTTTACCTGCCTGCCTGCCTACCTGCCTGCCTGCCTGCCTGCATTAGGGTGCGTGCGCGCGTGTGTGCACACGCGCAACCTGCCTGCCTGCCTGCAGGTAGGCAGATAGACAGGCAGGCAGGCAGGTAGGCTGACAGGCAGGCAGGTAAGCAGGCAGGCAGGAGTATGTCTGTCACAAAAACCAATGTTATGAAAGTTCTGTTTTTGTAGATGCAATACTAAAGACACAACATTGTTTACTGCCCAGCAGAATTACTCGTTAATTACAGACATCAGGTAGCGAACGTGGATTAGTTGTGCCAATCCATTACGTGGGATGCTCACATCATTACTAATTGGATTGATTAGTAATTGATGCTTATGTTGCAGATACTCCTCTTGCCTGTCTGCCTGTCAGCCTAGGGTAAATACTGCAGTTCACACACCACAGGAAGCATAAGCAGTAATAACTTTATGACTTATTTGATGACAAACACTCAAGGAAAATTGTGTGATAAATTTTAAATGACACTGTCTTCGAATGACCGTGCGCGTACTTGACCGTATACTTAATAATAAATCTATGAAATCTGGAGGTGATCTGTAGGGAATTGGAAAACACTAGCTTCACTTGATCACAATTGAGTTATTGCCTACAGATCATGTCTGAGCTAGAGGTCAGGGGACTGTGCCAAAACATTGGTCTAGCTATGGCTTGCTACCTTGCACAAAAGGGTTCCAATCTAGCGCACAGAAATAAGGAACGGAAGTGTCCACTGGACTATGTCAACGTTCAACTGGCTGAGGTCATCAAGTATTACGCCAGCTTGTCTCTACTGGAAAGGTGAGGCTTTGCAGGTTTATGTGCTGCTGCAAATGATACTACTTCATTTTATTGATGAGGTTATTTTTTTGAATTTATGACCTATTATTTATATTTGTTGCATTCACTTGTGTGGGCATATGTGTGTTATATGAGTTGCACGTCAGTTTAAGAAGCCTGTTGTACAATATATATATATATATATGCAATATATCATATAAGTTATGCCACCTTCAGGAATCAGAGTCTATATCATCTCAATTTTGATGTTAGTTCAGTTCTGAGTTTCTCTATTGCTTGAAAAACTGAAACCACTTGTTTGAAATTTATTGATTTGTTGACTTATTATATTTTCATGACTTTTTATCCCTCTTCTTAGCTGTTTGATAACTGAATTAAACAAATCATTGGTCTTAATAAAGTGTAAGTGATGGTGATGATACTAAATTTGTTGTATGAAAAATGTTCAATATCGCAGCATTGCTGTGTTTCGTGGGTATTCACCAACATGCATAGCAAGGCATTTATCAAAACTAGGAAATGCAGAAACATTTGAACAAAAACCATCATAAATCAGATGTTTAAGCAGCGCACAAATATTGTAAACGTTTTCGCTATTTTTATATTAATACTTGTAACCTCGACAAAATAAGATTTGAATTGTCCAACAACATGTTAGAAATACCATTACTGCCATTTAAATGCACTCTAACTAATACTATGTGGTCTTTGCAACTGCTATCAATGTAACGCATGAATGGTCCAGTCAACCATATTATAGGAAAATATATATACGAAACATGGTGTCGAAATATATGCTACGAAGCAAATGATGTGATTTAACATGGATCATAGTTCTTCTTGTTTCTTTCTCTTTATCTTTCAGTGCACCGTGCCCCTCGTCCGCTACCATGGCAACTGACACGTTGCCACCAGAGGAGATTTTGTTGTGTATGATATGTGACGAACCACGCCACCTGGTGACGTTTAAGCCGTGTGAACATCGGGTAGCTTGTGACGAGTGTTGCATCAGAATGAAGCGCTGTATGACATGTCAAAGTCCCATCGCTACAAAGCTAGACACAGGTAATATCTCCTATTCGGCCCTAGTGGAGGGAGACTTATTGATAACATTGTTCGAAAGTTGTCGTCATTTTTGTTGTTGTTTATTTGTGGTCGTTGTGATGCTGCCGCTGCGGTTTTTGTTGTTGTTTATTTGTGGTCGTTG